CCCTCTCACAGTTACAATTAAATTTACCTCCCAGAATCTGGGAGGCACGTGACCAGCCGCAGCCAGGGTCTCTCCCAGATGACAGAAGGAGAGACCCTGGGTACGAGGTTGGGGATGCATGTGGATAGTCACAAACTTTGAATATTATCTTGGCCTGGTTTTCTAGATATAGTCAGTATTGGGTTTAACTCATTAATTAATCAATCAGACCTGATTCTAGGGTTACGATTATTATATATTCCAGACGTGCAACTTTAGAAAGGTTAACCCATTGAGTGGCAGCACTCTCTCCCTGACGAGTAAAATTGTCTGGCGTTAGACAGAGTAAAGTAATCTGGCGTTAGTAAAATAATAAAGTAGGGCGCATATGGGTGCATTGCCACGTAAAGGGTTAACAGGGTTCATGGGCAGATTAATCCATTGAGTGGCAGCATTCTCCCCCTGACAAGTAAAATCGTCTGGCGTTAGACAAAGTAAACTAATAAAGTATGTGGGGCTCATTGCCACTTAAAGGGTTAAGCAAGTGACATTTTGACAACAAAGACATCACACATACATAATTTAACCGCTAATTTATATGGCGTCAGCAGTTTGTGCTTGAAATTAATCAAGAATGGCAGTGATATGCTGTTGTTTGACCAACAGCCAACAGGTTCATATTTAAAAAAATGGAAAGCAGTGTGAATATATTAAGGTTCATATTATTGTAATTTATGCATATCCCATAATGCTGTACGGGAATAAAATGATTGTGTTGTGACTCGACCACGTTGTTTGTGTTGTTTGTCTTCCTACACTAGAAACGAATCTCAATATACTACACCTATGAACACCTTGCCACAAAATACAGTTTCCTTTCAAAATTGTAGCACAGAAAGTACCAAGTTTAGATGGGCGACAAACACGCTCCTTTACCGCCCAGGTTCTTGCCACCCAGATTTTAGGAGACACGTGACTAGCCCAAGCCAGAGTATTTTCCCCTGCGTGGTAGGAGCGCAGAGGGAAGAACCTGGGAACGAGGTTGACACGACACGACGCCTTTGTCAGCCGACGGTGATCTTAATAAACATGGCATCATTTTGGATGTATTGACGGCATAAAGAGTGGAGAGCCTGACGCGATATTCATATCAGACTTTGGGCGTTGAAACGAGGAACTTTGAGGATCAGAATGAAACTCACGATCAATCATATGATCTCCATTGCCTTGATCCAGCAGCATCATTGTGATCTTCTTTTGAAACGGCCAGGTTTGAAGAGCGTCGTAGTCGCCTCTCATCACGACAAAAAACAGCGACAAATGCGATCCTTTGCCAAACCCATCTCCATTCTTGTAAATTTTAGCACACATTTTCTTATGTTATCAACTAATATAAAAACGTTCCCAACTATATATAAGCTTATATAAAATTATATTTACATATTTACAACATATAGACGACTAAACTAGGATAATTACGTATATTTAATGGTAGTAAAGTTATCGAAACGTTCAGTAAAGGTTCTCACAGTTCCACTACTATTTGATCTACGTAAAATATAATCATGTTCGTTAAAGGACCGGGTGGGTCTGATTATATTATAAACTGGATTGTTTTTACATGCTTTCTTCCGGGTTGAGTTGATAAATCTCCGACATAACTCATCTCTTCGACATTCCAAGGTTTTGGGCTTTGAGGTCTGCAATGCTTCATAATAAGATATGTCAGGGTATATAATCTTAAGTGCTCTCTTTTGGACCGACTCGAGATGAGAAGATAGGAAATCAGAAAGAGCTGCCCATACTGGGGATGCATACTCAAGTATTGAGCAAATAACTGAGCAGTAGATGGTTATAAGATAAATGAGGACCAGGCCTGCTTTCTTCAATAATCGAAGGGCAAAGAGTCGGGAGTTAGCTAACCTGAAGTTCAGGCCCTAATCACAGAATAGGGCCTGACACAAAACCTATCTAAAGTGTGAGATTCCCGTCCACCTGGTGGACGGGAAATCTGATTGGTTGATCAGCATCATGAAGGATTTTGATTGGTTGCAGTTTAAATAAACAACAGTTTTAAAAATAGCTCGGTCAAGGCGACAATTAATATAAAGGTCAAACGCACGTACAAATTCCATTATCGATTTCTTCGAATTTCTTTTTCTTTTATGCTTTATGGCAGAAAATAAATCAAACAAACAGTATTTTGAAAGGGCTTTATCAAAATTTTGGACGAATTTTGGACACACGACGCCGAAAGAACAGCCAAACTAGTCATGTATTCGAAAGCTTGTTGTTGACAGCCAAGATGTTTTGCCGACTGGCTTCGCCGGCAAAAGTCTTATTTTTAATATCAGGTCCTACCGGCGTTGTTTTCTGAGCTACATCGCCTTCTTCGTGGTACGATTGAGAATTTCATTGTTGCTGTTGTTAGCCCGTTTTAATAAAGTATATCCCTAATATCCGCGTCCAGCAAGTTGAGACCTTGAGAAAGCTTGGCAGTCTAGCCGTGCACAGAACTGACTAATTAAATCTTTGTCTGAATCTTATTTATATAAAAGTACCTTGAATTTTTAAGTTTAATTATAAAGCAAAATGCACACTCTGCGGACATGTTCATGAGAATATAATTTTTTTGTGTAACGAAATCTATAACACTTGTCAATCATATTGCATGTTGTGTCTAAAAATAACATGTGGGCGTCCCACGGTCTAGACAGGTTTTGTGTCAGGCCCTATTTCAAATTAGGGCCTGAACTTCAGGTTAGGAGTTAGCTTTCTTCAAGATATGGTCAACGTGGGCATTCCAGGTAAGATCCTTCTGATAGATAGACACCCGAGAGCTTAAAGCTGTGTACTCTTTCAACGCATTGTTCATTAATGAACATAGATTGATCACATGGAATTCGGTATTGAAGAAAATTTATAATCATTTCTTCACATTTTTTTGGATTAAGCTCCATTCCACGAGCGGATGAGAATTTGGAGATTTCTCCAACAACTAAAGGCAATACACTAGGAGAGCACCTTGGGACTACTTCCAATGCTGTTGTATCATCGACAAATTTTAGACGACCATTCCAGTCTTTTAATAATGGGTTAACTTATTAACCACGATAGCAAATAGAAGAGAACCCAAACATGTTCCTTGGGGTAAACCTCCATTGGCACTTTTCCACGTAGCCTGCGGTGCAGACGCAATTTCCCGCCACGAGGACTGATGGCAATCAAATTTGACACATTGTTGACGGTTGGTCAAGAACGCTGTAATCCAACGAGTAAGGACAAGGTGGACATTAAGTTTTCCAAGTTCGTTTATAATAACGTTATGCTCCACTAAATCAAAGCCCTTCCTGAAATAGGCGAAAAACAATCTGATGGAGTTATGACCACTGTCTAAGGCAGCAAAAATTTGATGAAGAAGGTACACCAGGGCATCGGTAGTTGATTTGTTCGGAAGTGCGAATTGCTTGGGGTCAAGATGATCTATTACTTGAGGCATCAACGAGTTGATTGTGAATCTTTCCATAATTTTTGAAATTTGCAAGGTCAAGGAGATCGATCTCAAATCGTTCTCAATAGATGTGGGAGGAAGCTCTTTAGGAATGGGCCAGACAATAGATAGCTTTAGCTGGGAGCTAGGGAACCACGCTTGTGAGAGGGATGAATTGTAAACATCGACAATTACATGAGCAAGTTCAAAGGTAAACATTTTAAGGATTTTGTTAGGGATTGAGTCAGGGCCAGGAGATTTATTAGTTTTGATCTTACGTAAGGCTTGATAAACCTGACCTGTGTCTACCAGGAAGGAGGCAGGGACATCCACATGAGTCACGATACTATCGGGCTCGAGTAGGCGGGTGACCAATCGTAAGAGGAAATCCATTGGCCAGATCTTTGTAAGCTACAAAATTTAGGTCTCTTTTCGAAATAGGACTGTTATCTGGCTTCTGTGGCCTGGGGATACGCGTCTGGATAATAATGTTATTATGATCGCTAGTTCCAAGTTGAGAGAGTTGTATCTGTTCAAAGAAGGATTTCTTCACGTTAGATAGGCACCAATCCAAAAAGCATTGCCTCTTGTCTTAATATTGATTATTTGGGTCAAACCGGCAATTCTTTTAACCATTCTTTTGTTAAAACCCGTGCTTGAAGGGTTAAAATCGTGATGAAAAGTGGGGCGTTGGGATGGTTACGAAGAAAAGTATCGACATTCGTTTGGATGTGATTATATAACGCGACATTTTCGGCGGCGCCACAGGATGTAGAGTGGTAAATGACAGCTAATAAAATTATAGAAATAGATCGAGGCAGACGGGGTGGCCTGATGGACATCCACAATGGTTCAATACCCTGGTCTTCATAGGTACGACGTCTTCTGCATGAAATTTTACTGTTAACGTAAATGCAAACGCCACCTCCAGAGGATGACGAACAGTAATTTGCAAGGGAAACTGCTAAATCAGGAATACTGCTACTTAGCCACGTTTCAGTGATACAGATAAAATCGGCTTCGTTGATTTGAGAAACTGCTTCAAGTTCATTCACCGTGGGGCGAATCAAACGGACATTAGATATTAACAAACATGGAAGGTCAAAATTATCTGGGTTCATCAATGTGGGACACGGTTGGGTGGATAGGGTAGATATCCATTGTTTGGAGGTGGTTTAGAGAAGAACCTGGAACGAGGTTGACACGACAGATGCCTTTGTAGTCGACAACGGTGGTCGACAATGATCTTAATAAACATGACATCATCCTTGATGTATTGACGGCATCATATCAGACTTTGGGCGTTGAAACGAGGAACTTTGAGGATCAGAATGAAACTCGTGATCAATATGATCTCGATTCTCGGTTCTTTGTGAAATAGTACCG